AACTTGCACCCCAGTGAAGCAAATGTGCATGTTGACTTGCTTTCAGGCATAAAGCCCCTTTGGGTTTGGCTTCAGGAGCATTCACAGCTCATCCAGTGAGTCTAGGAGGTCTAACAGTGATCTCTGCAGACTGCAGTGACCTTTGCAGGCCACACGGGATAGATTCTAATGACACTTGCAGGAAGCTCAGCAGACAACAGCACTCAATAAAACTCTGCATCTTATCACATATTCTGCGCATTGTCCTCATTAAGAGTTAATATGTTGAAAAAAAGCTTGGCTCTGTGCTAAAACTCATGTGCTTTGCTGCTTCAGGCTCTTCTTCCTGCAGTATTTGGAATTCTCCATCTGTTTACAATGGAAGCATACACGTCATCTGTTCCATCCAAGCAACCAACCGACCACTTCATCGGGATGTTTCCCAAATACCAGTAGTCTTGTCAAGAGCTAATTCTGGATCTCCACAGCCTGAATTTCCTTCCAGATTCAAAGCACAATGCACTATTTGAGATATGGCTTGGCTAAGTTACCTTATCCCCACAAACTGCATTGCACTTCAGCTTCATGTCCATCAGGTTTTTCTGTCACCTACCTCACTTTTTGTATCTTCAGCTTGAAAGTTCCTTTCTAAATCTTATTTTAATTTGATTACAGCAATCATGTTTTCCTGGTATTTTAGAGTTAGCTTCCTCTGGGTAATACAAAAAACATTAAACATTGCAAGGGCATCAGAATTTGTGAATGCCAGAAATAAAACTACCTTCTGGCTGCCTTTCCCACTAATATCCACTGCTAACAGATCCAGAGCAACATGATCCTTAGTCTTTTATGTTTCTAAGGACCTTCAGCTCTGATCAAGTTTCTAATTTCACATTCTTCTAAATTCTTTAACCTCCATATACTCTTGGAACCATACTGATTCAGAAATCACCCTAGACCCAAGCCACTTGAAAACAGATCCTCTTTATTTGGAGACCAGCTCCACCTAAGCTTTCAAAATAGACTGCAAAAACTATCCTTCCTCCATATTTAGTCTTTTCTCCAAACTCCCCATCTCTGAAACTCAAGTATTTCCAGATAATTTCCAATACCACTGCAACCTGTACCATCCCAAGCTAGAAATCTGCTAAAAGCAATTATTTCCCTGTACTACAGATAAATTTCAGAGGTGTTAGCTAGGTTTGCAAAAGAAATAAACCACTAACACAAATAACAAGAAATGAATCTCACACATACCACTCTTGATAAAAGTCAACACTACTAGAGAGCTTTTGAAATCTCAGCCTGAAGAACAAGCTTGTTCTTCAGCAAGGCTGGCTTTCCATCTGAAATGCTAAGCACATCAATTTGAAGGGAGCAAATAGAAAGAGCATGAACCTCTCACTCATGACTACCGTATTTGATGGCAATTCACTACTTTTCCTTCATTTCTGAACACAATTCAGAACTGTCAAATCACATCAGCCCTGACCTGCGGAACTCTATCCAAACCTCTCTGAAATATTAAGAGCAAGATGCATATAGACATTCACACTCTTATAACCAAGATGCTCCTTAGTACAGTTCAAAAGCACTGTAGTTCTCAGAGAGAACGTTTAACTCCAAGTCAGAAAATGACACCAGCAGCCAGTCAATTTCTAGGTGCAATTAAATGTATTAGAGTTTCACGTAACAAAACTAATTAATTGCATCTTCAAAACCCCTATTTCAACAGCCAGATGGAGGAAACTCTCTGAGGAACAGAAAAGCTGCATTGCACTGACTGCTAGTCAAGGATGTGGAGGAGGGGTTAATTTGAAGCAGAAATAATCACTGTATTTCACTCCTCAGCAGGTTGCCACACTTGTGCAGTGACTTATAGGCCACATTGCCAAGCCCTAATCTCCAGTTCATTGATTGCAAATCAAAAGGCATCAAGGAAGGAAGGAAAGATTATGAGACAACTTACAAGAATTTTCACAGAATCTGATGTAGCATTTCTCTCAAACTTCTCTCTTGGGAGTTTTGCGGGTAATGTAATATTAAAACAACCACAAAGCATTGCTTCAGAACATGGCTATGACTTATTTTTAATTAAGAAGTTGAATAACAATTGCTTTGTGCTACAAGCTTTTGGGACAGACGCAACAAAGACACTTTCTGATTCTTTCTAACGTGTGCATTAAATTAGAGACTGAAGAATACAGTTTCACCAGGTTTCCTAATCCTTTTTCTACTGCACGCTGGCCAAGCTGGAAACAGGATTTTACTCGGATGAATACAAGTACGTCAGCCACTGTGCTAAGAATATTGTAATGTTTCCTACTTAAAATTCTATCTTTATTTTGCATGTCTTGCAATGTATTAGAAACTCATGGAGCAGTCTTACTGCAAAACTCAAGACAGAAGAAATACCTGTAGTTGATTTACTAATTTTTTACAACTGGATTAAAGAATAATATTTAGAAGATTAAGCTTTATGGTTTCCAAGCTTGGTCCTACAGACTGCACAAAGATAACCAATAGCACACCAGAATGTTGAAACAATACTTAACACCATCCCACAGGAAGGCTCTTTAACCAAATTAATTCAAACTGGTCTAGTTGTGACCCTGTCACATATGCAGAAAGCTGAAAGTCCGAAGCAGTCAGAAATGAGACATTTTTAACATCTTTAAACATGATGTGGGAAAGGGGAAAACAGCAAATTAGTTAGCAAATCCTGCTAGACTGGATAGATTTAAAAACGTGGGGGGAAGCTTTCTGGAAGCTAAAAATACATGTGCAAGAAAGATGATAAAAGCAACCTTTCGAATACATGCAATCCATCTGGAGAAAAATAATCCAGAACTACAGCAGATGAGAAAGACAGGAGTGCAGTGATGTGGAGCAAGTCTGAAAAGCAGGAGTGGGAAAAACTGTACAAGATTTTCAATGCACCATAACAGTAAAAAAGGAAAAAAAACAACAGTTTTTGAGTAAGTAAAGACCTGTAGTCCAAAAAAAGCAGACAAAAAAATACCCTCTGTGGCCTTCTGGTAAAACTCTGCTTATCACATTATGTACGTTTAAACATATCCCAGAATGAGAGGGGGAAAAAAAAAAAGGAAGGGTATTTTGGAGAGAATTCAATAGAGAAAAAAAAACGAAAGCTGGAAGATTGAATTACAAGAGAAGATTAAGGGAATACAAAGCATTACTTCACTAAATGGTGACTAAGAGCAAGGGTACAAGCATTTGAACAGTGTAAAACACCATAGGAAAAGAAGATATGTTTGAAATGGAGATGAAGAAATATAAATGGAAGATTTTGACAGCAGCTTACTGATTTAGCTGGCTACAAAAAAAACCCCCGTCTCCAAAAGGAAGGGCTAGAAGCTATAGCAACTGGAGTTTAGAGCAAATGTAAAGGAGAGATGAGAGGAAGAGACACGATTTTAGCTAATAGAACTTCTCTGTCTTAACTTATTATGATACGGTAAAAAGACTCTGGGAAGGGATACTTCCATATCTGGCAGTATAAGCTATGTATTTCACTAGGATCTTAACTGCAAAAAGAAACAGTACCAGGGCAAACTACACTTTTAAAAGGATCTAACAGGATACTGAATCCATGTAATTAGTGATCTTACCATATCCACACAGCTTTCAGCAACAGTACCTGCTAACCAAATTGTGCTTTCTTCATAAATACATTTTAATTTCTGTCTCTTACCTTAAGAGGCTCATACCAGAATGGCAGCTCAGAACCAGCGCTGAAAAAGTGTGGGTTGGTGCACCAAAGAATATCCTCATCATTGATCTTCCCCTGCCTTATAACATGGTGCAGATGATGATAAACAAGAGTTTTATCAGCTGATAAAGCAGCTCAAGTAATGACGCAGCTGAGATGACCCTTTCTGAATCATGAGCTCTCTGGGGAGCAGCTACAGAGTCTGAAGGTGAATCAAGCAATTTCTCCCAGAGACAAGACTCCCCAGTGCTGGGCCACTAGACAAATGGCTCAGTGCAACCCCTGTACACGTGAAAGCTGTACCAAAAATAATAATAATCATAGGGGCCTTTTAAAAAAAGAAAAAAAATTAAAAGGGAAAAGGAGGGGGGGAAGCTGCTCATGGAATTGATTCCGCTATGATTAAGTTATCGCCCTAAATGAGAAGCTATTGAACAGCTATTTTTTCATCTCCTGCAACAAGTCACCTGGATACATGGCCTAAAACTTGAATCCAGCCCAACTTTCAGCTTTAGAAATTACCTAGTTCTGCCTCCTCCACATGCTTTGTGCATTATCAGCTGGACATGGCTTTTCCCATCCTAAACTATCACTGAATAGCTGCTGTGCTCTGCTGATGAACAAAGCAAGACGTATGTGTTCTCTTAATTCCATTTGTCAGTTTGTAAAAAAAGATGAAGGTTTTTCCTCAGATAGTAAATGAGTCAGAGGGGGTATGGAAGCAGAAGTACAGAAAGATAATTCCATTGCCAAAATATGCCTACGTGTACATAGAAAGCTCACAAATAGCCAACAAAAGCCTGTTTGGTAAAAGTATAGTAAGCCTCACCTTAGACTGGTTGGCTCCTATGCTTCCCAAAACTGCTGGTCTCCTAGAGGTTAGCTGCTTTTAGGCATGTTAGAAAATGATCCTGAAGCCTCAGCTGAAAAACTCCTCCATCAAAGCCAACCACATTACCATAAGCAAGATGCCTATTACCCAAAGAAGTCCAAGAAGACGTACTAGGTACTCCTAATAATATCTAGATTTAGGAATGTATTCCATGACTTGGAATGTATTTGTCTGTCATCATATTTGAAACCACAGTAAAGTGTCACAATTCTGTTACTTTCATGTTCTCCTGCCATGTTTGCACACCTCTGCAACAAAGTCCTTCACGTGTTTATTATTCAGTGGGCCTGGACCACGCTACTTCTTTGCTATCATAACCCAGCAACTAACTACCAGGCTAGAGCCAAAGCAACACAAAATGCTTGGTGGAAACACACAGAACACACACACACTCACCCTCATAGAGGTTTCTCCACCGTGGGGCTGTTGTAGCCTGAAGACTTGAGCAACCATGTGTTCAGTGGAGGGGTGCAGCAGGATACGTCGGGAAGCCAGTCCCACCATGACGTATCTACCCATTGGCGACAGGCTCACAGAAATGGCATTAGGGCCTACGAAGAGAATAGGGGTTATTTCTCTCACAAGTTGACATCCCTTCCCATGCTTCACCCTCACAGCTTCTTCATTCCCTTCCAGCATTCCCATAACATCTGGCATTCTAAGCTCACTCTTATAAGGGATAGAGATGAATAAGGAGACCTGCACAAATACAAGTTTTGTGGGACATTTCCTTGCTGCAATCATCTTCCTCCTAAAACAATAAAGTTCATTAAGGAATAAAATACTATCCCTTACTATCTCCCCCATACCATCATCTTGTATGTCCAAACCATACCACAAGCTTCTCCCCAGCAGTACTGGCTGGTTGGAAGGTCAATAAAGTATTTCCTGTTACTATAATCACTGACGTTCAGACTATTGCACTTCTCACTGGAGGCTGAGTCCCGAGGTAACTTCTCACACTCCCACCCACCCTGACTTCGTGCAGTGTGCTTACCAAATCGCTTTGTGTAAAGCATCTCGCCCAAGTTGTGCGGTGCCAGAGAATACACAGCCAGTATTCCTTCATCAGGGAAGCCTCTCTGGCTGCTGGGAATGAAGGCTGCCAGCAGCTGCCCATCAGCAGAGATATCGCAGCTAGCATCATTGTAAATCTTGCAGTTTTGAACAAGCACGTTCACAGAGGCTGCAAAGAAAGGGACAGTGATTAAAGTACTCAGGTTCAACAAAGACTAAAGTAAGATTTAAACCTAATGCTAGAGACCGGACAATACATGTAAATGGCACTCATGACATTTAGCTTTCTCCAAAAGTTTATGAAATTTTAATACCCTGATTAATGTAAAATTTGCTCCAAAGCGGAGATAAGACACTCCAATGAGCCCAGGAAATGAAATCTACTCACCTCCTGGAGCCTTCAGCCAAGAAACAGTGGCAATTGCACTTTATCAGACCCTTCCCTTGTTGAGTATAACACCATCCTTTGCAAAGGACAGCACAGTTTAAACAAGCCTCAAATCATGACTCTCCGACAAACTCCAGCAGCAGTATCATTAGAAACAGTACACCTAAATTCATTTCCCCTGCTCTTGTGGAGCCCCTAAGTTCCAGCTCCCCTTTATCTCCAATAAACAGGAGATGAGAGAAAAATTCCTCCCTGCAGATACAGACGTTCTTTTCTGACAGCTGATTTTTACACCAATCTTGGATAAAGCAAGTGAGAAAGAGCAGAGACTTCTCCAGCCAGCCCTCCATTTAATTACTCCAGTATTGGAGATAGTCCTGTAATGGGTGAAGTAACAATTGAGCAGGCAGGGCAGTGAGCTGCAACTCACAAAACGTAAGTGATTCTTTAATCTCTGGAAGCCAGTTGCTGGGTGACCTTACACTAGTCTTTTCCCCTCTGTGTCTTTCATATGCAGACTACAAACTCTTTGTGTTACTGAATCCTACTATGCACTTGCGCCATTCATAGTACAATGAGGTTCCAAGGCCTTGTAGCACTGTCATAACCAATGGTTCGATAGTGGTTTGGTAATACAAGGCTGGAATCATGTTTGCTCTCTCAGTCTAACCTAAATATACTCCAGTTTTTCACCAAAACCACTGCAGTTATTCCAGGTTTATAGCTGAAACTGCACACACTATTTTGGGAATGGGGAAATTTCAGTTTCTACTATTTTCAAACTCACAGGAGTAGAAATATAAATAAATAGAAATAAAGCCCACATTTGCAATATATAAGCTTTGCATGCTGGAAGACAGAACACCACATCTCACATGCTTGAAGCTATAGCACCATGTGGATCACTATGTGAACTTCTACACTCCAGAAATTCCCTTTTAAACCATCAGACCATGCCCAGCCTAGAAGTAGCTTTGATTTGTTCAGCTACAATTGCTGATGAGTTTATTATGAAGGCACTTCTCAGGCTAGATTCCTTATTAGTTTAACAAAAGAACAGTGCCAAGAATGCTTTGTGCATACTTCTCAAAGTCTGAACTTCCAAATCAAATTAAGGCTGTAACTCAATGCTTTAAGAAACTGGTGCTGCTGCCAGAAAAAACAATCCCTGCCCTTTGTTTCCAACACTTCTTTGGAAAGAAAGCTACCTCAGGGAACTGATATGGCTGAGAAATTACTGACTGTGGTCTGTGGTCACTGCTTAGCCAGAAAGGTTTCCCAACCTGGTATGCCACACAGCCACAGAGACACTTGCAGAAGCAGAAGATGTCATGACAAGGAAGGAGACAGGACTGCTTCTTCTTCCTGCATTGCTGATTTAAAGCACTCACCGAACCTCATCTTTAGTTCTGATCTCAAAGACATTTTTTCATAGGAACTGCTTTCCCACATGGTTGAGTATCAACTTCTACTGTTGCATTTAAGAAACCCCGATGAAAAAGACGATGAGGGTAAGAAGTGGACTATATAATCACATTCTGTACCAAGCCACCTACACCTGTACTCTAAATTTATTCAACCTTTTTTTTTCTCCAGTCTCAAAGCTGCTACAAACAGTAATTTTCAGCCTAGTATAAACAGAAAGGTGCTGAACAGAAAAAGGTAAATAACAGTAGTCACTGCCAGTGCTGTAATAACAGAATCTAAAACACACATGGCCCTTCAAAGAACAGACAGTCCAAAGGATAACAAAATTCCCGACTGCTTAGACTGAAGGTAGTTGAACAGAAAGGCAACAGAATAAAGATTAAAGACTATACTACCTTATTTTAAAAGAAGTAGAATTAACACACATTCCCTCTTTCTTTTTCCTAAGTCCAGGCTTCATTCAAGTACTCATCATGTCATCACAAGAGAAGATGATGCCACGAGGATGATAAGAGGACTGGAGCACCTCCCGTATGAAGACAGGCTGAGAAAGTTGGGGCTGTTCAGCCTGGAGAAGAGAAGCTGCATGGAGACCTCATAGCAGCCTTCCAGTATCTGAAGGGGGCCTACAAGGATGCTGGGGAGGGACTCTTCATTAGGGACTGTTGTGGTAGGACAAGGGATAATGGGTTTAAACTTAAACAGGGGAAGTTCAGGTTAGATATAAGGAAGACGTTCTTCACAGTGAGGGTGGTGAGGCACTGGAATAGGTTGCCCAAGGAAGTTATGAATGCTCCAACCCTGGAGATGCTCAAGGCCAGGCTGGACAGAGCCTTGGGTGACATAGTTTAGTGTGAGGTGTCCCTGCTCATGGCAGGGGTGTTGGGACTAGATGATCTTAAGGTCCTTTCCAACCCTAACTATTCTATGATTCTATGAGCCTCAATGCCGGCACTGCAGTATATGCTGTGAACTAGCTAAAGGATGCAGGACAACAGGTTGAACTATTCCAATCCCTGTCAAACTGGGAGGATTCCCACAGAATTCTTCAGTGACTCATTTCCAAACCAGTCCTATTTATTAGCTTTATCAATGGGCTAGACACAGAGTGGAGCTGGTTGATGAATTCTGCTGATAAAGCTGGGTAATTTCATTAACAGAGCATGATCAGACCACACAATGAACTGAAGGACATAGAGACATAATGGAAGGGAAATGGAAGAGTTTTAAAGTGTATTAATGTATCTTATTATATATTATGTATTATATATTATAAATTTCTGCTTTACCTAGGAGCTTCTCAACTGGCAACAAGAGAGAATCGATGTTGGTAATCATAGCAAGGACTGAGCCATCCAACAGGCATGAAAGAGATCCTACGCTGCACTAGAGAGCACACAGCGCTAACATACAGCCTTGTGCTGGGACCACATGCAGGATACTGGGCACAGTTTTGGTCAGCCATGTTCAAGAAAGATTAAACCTTAAATGGTAACAAGTGCAGCAAAGAGCTATGAAGATGACTAGGGGGAAAAAAAAAAGATTGTGAGGAAACAGGCTTGCATTTACAAAAAATACCAGCAAGTAAGTGCAAGAAAAACACCAATTCTCTTCAGAAATAACACTGACAGGTAAGTGGGTAAAAGCAGCCATTAAGTTTGGAAATTAGAAGATTTCTACCAGAGTAGCAAGATTCTAGAATAAATTTTCAACAGAAATGAAAGGGACAAAGAATTTAACCAATTTTAAGACAGAGTAAGAGGATGTGCTTGCCTAAGACAGCAGGGAGCTGCACTCAGTAGCTAAGGGGGTCCTTTCTCACCAACTCCTTTGTAGCTGCACTCAGGTCAGCAGTGATCTAAATAATTGGAGGGAAAAAAGGTGTGTGTGGAACTTATTGGACAGGTGAACATCAGAACTCTCACAACCAATTCTGAGTTAACTAGTTAAAAGATAGCCAAGTAAGAAGGCCTGCAACAGAGCAAAACTACACATCACAAAGGGAGAGCATCTGCCAGAGACAGAGTTATGAAACACACCACCACCACCTGTGCAAAACCTTTCATTAGTAGGAGAGAAAAATACATTCCTGTCCTTTTCTTTAGGATCGAAGAACTGTTCTCTCTCATTCCTATCCTGCTAGACATCCAGCAGGTTTTGTTCTGCACCTCTAGGCTCAGGATGCTATTCCCAGGAGGAAGCCGTGGTTTCCCTAGATTGTTTAGTACTGTCACTTGATGCTCAATATTGGAAGTAACCAGACTGTATACTCGCTTCATCAGACCAAAGGTATGGGTGTCATCTAGTCCAGAGACCTTTCTGTACTGATGTCCTGGTGCTTTTCAAAGAGGTGCCAGAAGCTTTAGAGGGGACAGATATACATTTCTCTGGGCACAGGTGATGTTTTTTCCTTGTTCCTGTAACTATTGAAAAATCACAGTTTATAGAATTCATGTCTCTTGTCAGCTTTTAAAGTTTAGAGGTTTTTTCAATCTAATGCAACCTTGGACATTCATAAGAATTCCACATCTTTATTTCTGTAAGGCAAGAAATGCTTGTATTTCTTCTGTACCATTTACAGATTCAGGGACATTGCCATGCCTTGTACATACCCTCAGCTCCATGGCTATTTTTTTTCCTTTCCAGGTCTCTAATAGTCTTCCTTATCTAGCATTTACTGTATGTCTTTTCAAAACAACGTACGGTTTGGATCCCCAGCCACCAAGAGTCTATTTATCATATAGCACATGTTCACTCATGTTTTTTCCTCCCTCCTCCCCTCTTTTTCAAGGCAGCAGAGAGGTTTTGGTGAGCAGTCCACAGGGATGGCCAACACAACTGCATGGTTTGTTCTTTTTAAAGTTTATTGCATACAGAGAATGCCTCATAGCAAAACAGATTGTGAGCTCCGCTGCCAGAAGTGAACTATCTTTCCCCCTTGATGTGTGTCTGGAACATAAAACATCACAGATGCAAGATGTGCTAAACAAGGAAGAGCGCCCTTTATTTCAGTCTTTCAATATCTGATTCATGCTAGCATTATGGTTCTTTGCTCTTCTCTCATTTACAATGGATGAGGGACTCAGCACTTACACCCAGAACCAAGGGAACCCACTGTGCCAGCAGAGAAAGTCTAAATGTGAGAGGTGGAGAACTCAGCAAGGTTTCATTTTAAGGAACAGCATCTAAGAGATTCCCAAGACACGGGGAAGATGACAATACTCATGCATTTGCCAAAGCCACAGGCTATTTGATTTCTTTGAGCCTGAGGCCAGATCTCTGAAAATGAAGTCAATGCAGGAGATTTTAGGGGGGAAAAGAATTGCTGTTTTTGGAAAACCATTTACAACGAGGCTGCCCTTTCATCTCTTGTTTTCTTTTGTTGTTAATGCAGCCACCAAGCTGACAGAACAGATCAAAAGAAACATCAGAGAACAAATTAATCAAGCTGTTGTGCCAACTTGGAGTGCTTACACCTACAGCATAATTATGCTTGAAGCTGAGGAAGGCCTGGAATGCCCGCAGTAACAGCACTGTTTGCCACAGGAAAAGAGTGCTGGGTGCACCATCCATTCCTAGTCACAATTAAGGATGACACTTCATTAATGGCTGCTCCTATTTATACATTGTTTATCACGCCTTTTTTATTTTCTCTTTTCTTCTTATAAGTTTTTCTGCATCCCACTTACTTACAATATTTACTGGACCAGTAAGTGTTGATCAAATCACCTTCCCCAAGTCCCAGCCAGCGTTAGAACAGAACAAACTCCTGACATATGACTGTATCTGGAAGAACCAGACCAGTTCAGGCACAATGGCTAGAAAATTAAATAACAAGCAGCGAGCAGCACAAGAGAAGCTAAACAAGAGAGAAAACCTTCAAACATTTTACCTGTGGAAAGGCTGTATTCTACACTGTTCACTGATTCAATACTTACCCGTTAGCTGCAGGAAATCTTAAGGATATGCAATACTTAATAAAAGAATATTAAATAAATGCCAGAGATAGCATTGTGTCTGCTGCCAAATAAATTCCTCACTCCAATGTTGATACGACTGGCATTACATTTTAAGACTGGGCCATGTTAATGTCAAGAGTTATTAAAAGCAAAGATAGCAAAAGGAGAAGAAATCTGAATCCACCATTTCCCATCTTGCAATTAATAGAGAAAGATAGGGCAGAGACTAAAATCCCACAAGTCCCTGCAAAGCCATTTCCCCAAGACTGCCAGAGTCCCCTGTGTGTGTGTTCTGGACTCAGCATCAGTGAGGTTGCTGCTGCAGAGCCAAGTCCAGAGCCCAGGGCTCTGCAGGGTGTTCGACTCAGCTGCTGAGATCCGAGGACTGCACTCATCACGCTGCTGTCACTTGCTCAGATGTGTCCGCTTCAGTGGAAAACATCCTACTTCCAAACTATCTTTTCTTTGTTTAATGGTAACAGGAAGAAGAGCTGCTCAGAGATGGAGGTTGGCCACAGAGTCATTTGTTTGATGGAAAGAAGAGCTGGCAGGCAGTCTCAAACTTCAGCTGCATCATTTCATCTGTCTGAACTCCTAAAACACTTGTGGCTCAGGTCAGCCCCAGGAAGTGCTGTTGCCCCCTCTGTGTAAGCGGCCTCTCCCACATGGCCACCTCTGATTTATAGGAAATGATGGAAAAAGAAGGGGGCTTTTAAGGTCAAATGCTTTACTGGGAAAACAGTTTATTTCCAAGGTCATGAAGAGTCAGAAAACACTCATCCTGCTATCACTCCACTGTTATACATTCAGCTTCACAGTATCTCTACAAATGTATGCAACTTGCCAAACTTGCAGCTAGCCTTTGTTCTGTGCCTATGCAAGCTTGGCAAATACCTGTTTTAGGATGAGCACAGCTGCTACATCTTCATACATCCCAACTAAACCTTGGCAGAGGGAGATATGGCTAACAATCTAGAAATGCTAGAGTTGAGCTCAGCATGTAAAAATGAAGAAGCAGAGTAAAACTGAACATCTCCAAATGGTAATAAATAAAGATGGACAAATCAAGTACTATGAAGCACAAAGTGGGGAGTCAGATGGACTGGGGATGCAGTTGTAGCAGAAATCCTGCCTGCATGAAGGGCATAATGACAACAGAAACCATAGCCCAATTTCCAGCTAATTAAAAGCTATTTCAGAATAGAAGTGTCCTGGTAGGGTAGAGGAAGAAGATTGAAATATTGATGTCTTGAGAAGCAGATGGTTCTTATTTTGCATGGGATTCCATAAATTATAAACAAACATCTTATGCTTTTTTTTCCTTAAATCAGCAGCCTTCTCAGCATCCAGATGAGGCCAAAACCCCCCAAAAGCTATAAAAAGCTATCAGCAGCTGTAGCACTCTTCAAATACTTCACAAGTTTGCAGAGATGTCCCAGAGAATTTAACTCAGCAGCAAGATGTTTCCCCCTCTGACTTCATCTTTACTCTGTTCCAGAGTCTGGCTGGACCACAGAAAGTATTGCCACCACGTGGCAAAACATTGCCTTGAGCACTGATCCTCAGCCTACAACTTCACACTGGTACTACGAAGTTTGGCAGTTCAGAGTTTGACACATCAAAGCACTGGCATATGAGTTCAATACAGTATTTGACTTTCAAGATGACACCGTCTGTTCATTCCCAAGAGACAGACTGGTTTTCAAGGACAAAATATAAAGCATTTTCCCCCTTTACAGTGTCGAGGGCTAACATCTAGAAGCAGGACTTTTATTTCCCAGCAGGCTACAAGCATCACACCACAATGTTTTGTACAGTGCGAAGGAAGGAGATGAGATAGATGCTTTATCCGTAGGAACACCACACTAAGAAAGCTTTCTGTAATGGGATGGGCTACTGGTAGCTTTCCCCTAGCTCCTCTGATTTCCCAAGGACTGGGAGATAAATGGCTCCATACAGCTTGCCCAGAGAAGCTGTTGATGCCCTATCATTGGAAGTGCTCAAGATCAGACCGGATGGAGCTTTGAGCAACTTGATTTATCTAAGGATGTCCCTGCCCACAGCAGGACGGATGGAGTAGACGATCTTTAAAGCTCCCTTCCAACCCGAACTATTCTGTGGTTCTATGATTTCAATTCCCTACATCTCTGCTGCTATGGTGTCACTGCAAGTGCTCCTTTTGTGGGTCCATTAAGCAACAGGACAGTATCCCCCCCAAGACCTCTATTGTCAGATATGTGACTTGTAGAATCGCAGAGCAGACATGGCTGGGACTGGGAGAACCTTTTTCTTAATTCATTTCAATGGCTACCAGTGAAAGCAGAAGTCTTTCTGAAAACAGAATCTTTGTTCTCCCTAAAAAAGTCAGTCCCCTGAAGCAGAACCCAATCTGGTTTTGCTGAGAAGTCAAGCAATGAATTTGATGCACAGAAATGGTCTATGCTAAAAATCACTGTACAAAAAAACCCCAAATCATAAATATCTACCTCCTATCTTCATCCCAGGCTGCCACAAACATTTCTGCAGCTGTGCAGCAAGCTATATCAGGATACCATTCTGGGTTAAAAATAGTCTTTCTAGTCAAGTTAGTTTTAGCCCCCAAAAAGTCATTCCTTGATCAACTGACCACAAGCATCAAATATGCTTGTGCCTGCATACGGAAATCTCTTCCAGTGTGAGAGGTAGCTTATGCCATAGAACATAGGTAGAACCAGGGTCTAATTTTCACAAAGGGAGGGAGAGAAATACATAAATAAATATATAAAATCAGCAATATTGCCCATATTCTTGACCCAGAAGCAGCTTTCACCTGAGATATGGGACAAATCCCTGCTTTTGCAAACGGCTAGAAACTACATCTGCTTCTCCTGACTTGCAACACTGTGGTAAGCAACAGACCAGAGGCCCAATTCCAAACAAATATTGCAACACTTTAACCCACACTAATATCAGTAACTTGGAGAACTTAGACCCAACTGATAGCAGGTCTTAACATAAAGATATAAAGACAGTATCCCTCTAGAAACCTGATAAAAGAATAAGGAGATCAGACAAAATTCTTCTAAGAGGATTGCATATTTTCGTGAGAATACTGACAAAAAAAGCCCTGTTTACGCATGGATTTGCTGATAGAAAGAATACACAAGACAGAGCAGGAAGATCTCTGCATGCTTTTAGTCAACGTTCTGAAAGGGCTAAGCATTTTACAGTTTTCAGTGCAACAAGACAATCAAACAATCCAAAGCCCGCAACATACAACTACCTTTGGAAGATCCTACAGCTTATGGTAGCTGTGATTGGTATAGATTTAAAAGAAGTACTGATGTCCTTTCCAGCTTACCATTGCTGATTTCAGGCAGATCAAATTTAGTGAAGTCCCACCATTGGAGCCGGTAGGTTGTGTTGGCAATGTTACTGGCCACAGCTGACTGTCCGTCCCCAATCACAGCACCTACAGAAAAGGCGAAAGAATTAGTAATTGAACCTCCAGAAGATTATCCAGAGAAGAACTGGGGAGACAAACCATAAAAACCCCTTTCAAAATCCAATACACAAAACTCTAGATTCTTAAAGAAACCTTATTTACAGAAATAGCAACATCTGCTAAGTAAACCACAGGAAATTAATAGGAAAGCACCTTTCTGCAACGTATTTCTGGAAGAAGAGAAAGTTGATGAGAGGCCAGACTTGTCCAAGGCAGAAATCTCAAGGCAGAAATCTGAATCAATCCATTTGATGCAAATGCATTCTACTTATTGGTACTAGTGAAGCTTCTAGTACAGCTATGAAGGCAGACCAGAATAAATACTAAGGAAAAATGTTGCCCTGGCAAATCACACCCATTTGTGGACATAATGCCTGTTGCTACTGAAACTCGACTCAGAAGATACAGGTTGCCTACAATATTTGCCACACAGTAAGGATTGGAACAGAAAATATTTGGGGGACCTATGAGCTGGCCCTTTGCTGCTCTGGGTGGCCCAACCTACAGCAGGCATGGGCTGCTCTGACTCCAGGCAAACAACATAGAATCATAGAATAGTTTGGGTTCTAGTTCCA